TATCAAGGGTTCATGAGGGAGAGGGGAGTGGGGAGGGAAGAGGAAAAAATGAGGAGTTGATGCCAGGGGCTTAAGTGGAGAGCAAATGTTTTGAGAATAATGAGGGCAATGAATGTACACATGTGCTTTACACAATTGATGTATGTATGGATTGTGCTAAGAGTGTATGAGCCCCCAATAAATAAAAAATAAATAAATAATAAAAAAGAAAGAAAACAGACAAAAAAGGTATCTCAATGTTCAAGAAGAAATACCCCCCAAATCTATGTCCTTGTCACATGAAGAATACTCCAACTTCATCAAAGCACTCCAAAAGTTTTAAATCAACTCCAAATCCAAATTTTATCCTTGGGCAAAATTTCTCTTCACTATGACTGGAATACAAGCACAGTGCAATGGTGGGACAGGTACAAGGTGGACATTTCCATTACAAATGGAAAAGAATTTGGAGGTAAAGAAGGGATAATTTGCACCAAGTTAAGTCCAAAACCTAGCAGAATCATTTGCATTAGTTCTCATGGCTTGAAAACAACCCTATGTCATCCGAGACCATGCTCTCTCTGGATTCTGAATGAAGGTTCCTTGGCCCTGTACTTCAGATCCACCTTCCAAAGCCCACTAGGATGGGAATGCTGCTTCTTCAGCTTTGGAAGGATCCACCAAAAAAATCAGCAACAATAAATTCTGAAAAGAAACTGGGATCTTACATTTGCATGAATTTTTCCTATAGAGTCATTTTCATATATTTGCTTACAAGACACAGGTATACATATACCTATGACTACCTCTTACCTACTCCCACTAGAGAAATGCAGAAATACTTACCATTCTGAGTTTTATTGTTGCTCCTTGTACAACTGTTTTCATTGTTTACTTTTCCAGATGATTCCTTTAAGTTCTGTGACCGGCAACTTAAATTTGAAGGTTCTACTTTTTTTTCCACCCTGCTACTAAGGCTATCATGGTTACCACCTGTCTTCTCTTCTGGCTTAATTGAAAGGGTCACTCGGGCATCGGATGTAGAAGGTGTATGTTCTAGGTGCTTCTGCAGTTCAGGAATATTGGCAATTTCCAATTCTGCCTTAGGAGAAGGCTTTGTTGGTACGCACTCCTTAAGAGGGGCAGCTAGTGGGTGAAGAATAGACGCCACTCTGTTTTCCTGATCAGTGTTTGTTTTCAGCAGGGGACAGCTACTCTCTGGCTCACTTGGAGTTTTCACGTCTCCAGTTCCGATCAGAGACAACTCTGAAGGGAGTAACCCAGGTTTGCAGACAGCACCTGGCTTTGTCCTCAGTGCTTCCAGCTTTACGTGCACACATGAAGAACGTTCTTCTGGTACGCTCTGTCTGTGACATCTGAAAAAGACAGTACGTTGGAACACTGGTATCCAGGTCTCCCTCATTAGAAATTAAATGTTTGATTTGCCAGGGCAACCAATATGAAAGCAGAAGAAAACTTTTTAAAAACAGGTTTCTGTGAACTAGAGTTAAAAGTAATCAGTCACTGGCTCTGCAAAAAGAACCACTCTTCGAAAAAACACTACACTATCCTCTTTGCATGTTCTCCTAAATTTTCCAGACTTCAAGCTAATTTCTAACTACTTACAGCACAATCAACTCCGCCCCCAAACAAACGGAATGTCAGATGGAATCAGAAAATACTCAGATTAGATGCTTAGTTGTTTTCAAAAGCCAACACCAAGAAAAAACTGCTAATCTCCTTATTTGATAAAGATTACACTTCAATTTGAAAGGGTAAAACTAGTATTCTTAACACAATCTCCTGGTAGATCAATGTGTCAAGATAAAATTAACCCCCCCTCTCTACATACACACACACACACACACACACACAGATGCTAGACATCTCAAAGATAAATTTCACACAAAACATAAATCTAGAAACTATCAATAAACAAAATGTGGTGAACGTGTATACTGGAAAATTATTCAGTCATCCAGAAATAAAAAATTCTAACACATGCTCTGACATGCTGAACCTTCAAAACACAAAAGGGAAAATGTATGATCCCACTCGTGAAAACATGTAGTCAAATGCAGAGACAAAAATATACTGACAGCACCAGGGCATGGGGCAGGGGGTGCAAGGAAGTGGAGAGTTACTGCTTAAAGGATACTTGGTTTGTTTGCAATGATGAACATTTTTTTAAGATAGTGGCAATGACTAACAAAACATGGAGAATGCAATTAACATCACAAAATTACATATATAAAATGGTAATTAAAAAATATAGTTTACAATTAAATATGAAAAACAAAGCTAACAACCAGTTACCAGCAGCGTGGAATCCTATCCAGCTAGAAACAACATGGAACCAGCCTTAACACAGAACACCTAATTCTTATTTAGCTCGTCAGCGATCAGGATCCCAAAGCAAACAGAATAGTCAACTAATCACTTGTTTGTTCATAACAGTAACGTACTGTGGTATTTCCATCCTACATCCTCCTAGGGCACCTTAAGGTACTTTTGCTTCTCTGACACTCATCCCACAGTCCTGTCCCCAGCAAAACACAAAGTCCTTTTTCTCTGCTACACTCTCCCCACCCCACAAAGCAATTTAAAATTTCTCTTAGAAATTTTTGCTTAGATGGCACTGAACTTGTTACCTCTTCCTATTCTGAAGATGGTTTCTCCTTCCCTCTGACCACTAGGTAGCCATTCTCCAAGCTTAGTCTCAGAGCACCAATTTTTTGTCCAGTGAACCATTCTGATTAGCCACTCTCCCGCTTTTTGTAGTGGTCTCCCAAATCTACTTTCTTTTATCAGTCTCTCTGGACAGGCCATCACCCTGCCTGAAGAGATCCTTCCCTTAAAACTCACTGGTCAACTGGAATCCACAACTTGTGGTTAACCACTACATTTCTTACTCATTTTCTTCACCGATATATGAATAATACCGCCAACTGCTATTGCTCCATTTCTATAACTCTATTAATCTCTTCCACCACCCCACCTGCCATCTGTACTTGAAGTTAACTCAGGTCTGAGCTACTGAGAAGCACTCACTATGAGTAAGTACATCTACCTTCTTACTCCCAGTAAATTCAGTCTTCCACATCCAAGCAAACTGTTCTCTTTCCTGGAACACACATGTTTACTTTGCAACAGTCATAGTATTTAAAATGGTCATTCTATCAAGTCAAGAAAGCTGGTTCTCATGACTCCTCTTACACACACATTTTTCCATGCTGCTTTTGTATGCCTATTACATTTTTAGCTGCTTAAGCCATCTGGTCAATCTTTTCTTTGGGAAATGTTATCAAAAAGGCCCCTTTATAGATAATCTTAGAATGAATAATAGTTTGATAGGTTATGACACCCAATCTTGGTCATAATACTCTCTCCTTGACACAAGAAATGTGGGTAGATCTTGCCACCTGAGCAATGTAAGCACAGACAGAAGAAACTATGACAAATATTTTTTTTCTTAGTACTATAATTAAACATCTATAACAAATGACTACTCACCCTTGAGGAATTTTTGCTCCAAGGTTTGGTGGAGAGTTGGCGGCTTGGGGAGTACTTTGCTGTCTCGGGTCCTTACTAGGTGGAGTTGCTGCAGTACAGCCAAGTAGTATCTCCTTAAAAACTGTTGTGGGAACAGACTGTACAGGACACATACTGGGAGAAGCCTAGAAGATACCAAACCAACAGACATTAAAATGCAAGTGAAATCACAAAATGCTATGAAAATTCAAGATGACTGCTTAGTTTAATACTAAATAACCACAAAATAGCAGAACCCAACAAAATAGAACAAGCAATGAATCATTAAACGACTGACAATTGTTTATGGTAAATATACCGTTTCAGTTTTTCACAAACCTATAAAAATACACAATCTGATGTTTTTCAGAACCCTGAAAAGTATTCCAAGAAGGCTGTTGTATTAGTAATGTGATATACAGAAATGAGCCTTACCTGACAGTCTCAAATGGTGGCAGCTTCATACGAACCCATTGTAATCATAACTTGAGCTGGAGACCCGACCACATAGGACTCATAGTGGTGCCTACTGGGTACCAAGATAAGCCTTTGCAAACCAACTAAGGATGAGCACACAGTTGTTGCTCTCAATTGGCTAACAAAGTCACATAGGTCATCGAAGTTGGAAAAAATTTCAAGTCATGACAGGCCTGTGAGAAAAAGTTGGAATGTCGCTTCATTCCCTTTTCATGGAGTTTCAGCTTCACAAAAATCAATACATATTGGACTCACTTCCTACAGTTTGTATTAGCCACAAAGCAAGCTTCTTACTTTGAAAAGGAAGAGAACTTAACTTCAGACAACTATATATTCTATTACTACACCAAGTAACATCCATTGACCATCTTCACCAAGCCTTGTCATGTGTGCCCAAACTTTGAGTCAAATAACTTTCTCAATAGCTCTTTTATATCACAAAGGCTTCCACTTCAACCTTAGCACCAAATTCAAACTTGAATTACATGACAAAATTTCCCTTAGTAAGTTTTTTCAATTTCACAATTATGAATGTATCTCTACATAGCGTAATCATAGATTTCTGAAGACATTTACTCTAGCAGGCTTGAAAGGACTAGTATTTGGTTCAGGTCACTGAAATAGAAAGAATTTCATGCTGTTGAAAGTTTTGGCAGAGCTTGGAGTTATTTTGAAACATTAAATGATCTGATCATATATCACACTGTTATTCTATTCAATTGTAGTTAAGTTTTAACTTAGGGTTTACCAGAAGAATTTTTCCCCTCTTCATCGGTTTGAAATATATCCTAAGGACAGTCAACTTTACCTACCTGGGACTCAAGTTTCCTAATCATTAATAGGAGATTCAATATACTTGTTCCTAACACCCCTTTCAATTCTAATTTACAGTGCTCTGATAATCTCCTTAAAAAGGTCAGTTTACTCAAGTTTGTCAAGTCATTTCAAAATGTTTAGTCAAGGCTTACTTTACCAAGTATTCCCCTTCAAACTATAACTTCCTTAATTTTTATGTTTAGAATTGATGTATATAGTACTTTTCTTAAATTACTCTCCTGAAAATAATATAAAGGCAGTTAGATCAGATTTACATACATTTTAAATTCTGTACCACATCCATAGCGCTGCTCAAGTAAAAAACCTAAAAAACCAGAACACCCTCACCATCTCTCATTTTACCTATCTGATCAATGACCTAGCAAATTCTTCCCCTATCTCCAAAATCTTTATTGACAAGATAGCCCTTTATCCCCATGTCACCACTCACCTCCTCTCCCTTTACTATGCCTCTTAATTTGTCTGACTTCTCTCCATTGTTGCCTGTACCCTCTTGCTCCTATCCACAACTTATTCTACTATAGAGAAATCTTTATAAAGTGTAAATGAAATCAAATCATGACACTCTACTGCCTACAAGGATTCTATGTTGTCCAGGCACCCACCAACTCGCTCCACTCATCACTCTTACCATTCTACTCTCCCACTTGCTCCCCAACTATACTGGCTTCCGTTCTGGCAATCTAAGACCTTTCTTGCGTGGGTCTTTGCTCTTGCTATCCCCTCTGTGTGAGTAGTTTTCATGTGGCTGGTTGTTTCCATTCTTTCACTCTCAAGTCTACTCAAATTTCACCACCTCGGAGAGCATCTCTCTTTCCGAAAAATTGCCCCATGAGCCACTCTCTTGCTTTGTATCATAATCCAATATCTCTTTCATGGCACTTACCATACTGTGAAAGTATCTTTATTTAATTATTGTTGGTCTCCCAACAATATTCCTATAGTCCTTATGGGTAAAAAACTTGTTCTTGATTCCAATGGCATATTTTGTAAAGCCAAATACATAATAAAAGCTCAATAATAAGACATTTAAATGAATGCATGCTATCAGCACTTACTATCTTAAATTATCTATTAACAAATCTTAAAAATAACCTGAAAAGCCAGGCAAGGATTGCTCACCACTATATATCCAGTGGGTAACACATACTAGATATGCAATAACATCTGTTCAAAGGAGATGAAGGGCTAAGAGCAAAGAGAAGAGTGGGAGGGAGGGATCTAGTTGTTCGATGGTAATTCACACCAAGAAAAGGATTTCAAGGAAGAGCACTACAGTGATGAAGATTTTTGATTAGTTGTTGGTTTGAATCCAATTTCTGTCATACTTATTTAACCCAACTAAGCTTTAGCTTATTCACCTACAACATGAGAGTAGTGAGACTTGGGTTTTAAGGCTATGCTTTATCACAATGCCTAGCACATAGTATACTAAATTTTAATGCTTTGTTGTCTTGAAGTGGAAAAACATTGTGAAAATATGTGTCAGAATGAGTGTGAAGATATTTTAGAATTAGCATAAGTGATGGGAGCTTTTCCTTAAATAACTAAGTATGTCAATATACAATTTTACTAAAGTTCAGCTCAATTGGATAGGACTCCAATTCTCAAACCCATCTTCACGTGCACACCTACATCTACACACTGGCCTCTCACTTGACAAAGGGTCAAAGTTACTTCTTACCTGAAGAGTTTCCCTGAAGGTCTTCTATACCAGTCATGGCAGTAGTTCCTCCCTGCCAGCAGACGGAGATAATATAATTGAGTGTATGATGGTATTCTAAAAAGAACCCTGCTGGCTTGCACTCCTCAGCAGATGCTTTTACAATTAACCACACAACGTTGTAACTCTGAGAAATAGTCAGCTAGGCAGAGAAGACCTTCAAGGAGCCAGATGGCACTGGCAACCAGGTTTATCTTAGCCAAAAGTATTCACCAAAGCCTCAGTCAAGACTCCTGCCTGATACCAAAGTACTGCCTTCCAAAGACCACCCAAAAAGTAAAATTCAATTCAACCCAATTGGGAAGTACAAATCTACTAAGATGCCAAGAAAACCATATGGAAATAAGACCCCTTTTCTGTCACATTGGGTCACTGTGTTGGAGTGAATTTCTTCATATGGGTCTTCTATACAATTTTCTGTAAATCCCACAAAATGACGAGATGGGAGTATACAAGTAGAGTGTGTGTAACACTAACAGAAGGGATTGATCAGCTTTAGTAACCACTCCCCTGCCTGTTAAGATGACCCATCTTTACTTAAAGCAGGAAGACAGAGAAATCCCAGGACCATTGGAAGTGAAGCACATCCGTGATCTCTGTGAAGTAAACAAGGCTGAAACTAGAGGTATCAGAGGCCAAGGCAAAGACCAAACAATGAAACAACACCGAGACTATGAGGCGGAGCAGCAGGCTAAGGGGCCATGTACTTGAAATGCTGAGGTCTAGAGATAGACTTGGCTGCTGGTTGTTACTATGGACCAATGAGTGGATCCTTAATATTTTCGGATCCTATTAAACCCTCCATAATTTGGAATACTGTCTGTGAGTCCCGTGTGGCCACTGCTACAAATGATCACAGCCAACAGAGAAGGAGAGCTCCAGGGAAAGAACAGTTGGGTGAAGGGGGAGGTATGTCTGACTTCAGCCTTGTGACAACTGGGAAGCCTTAGGAGGAATCAGATGTGGCCCTGCCCCCTCTTTCCTCAGTCATTTTGAGTTGGAATCAGCTCTACAGCATCACCACCACCACCAAACAACCACTTATCTTCTCTGCCTTCCATTACTACTAGATATGCCACTGTTTGAGAATGACATGACAAGGACAGGGTCTAAGTGCTAAAACATTTTTAACACACCCGCTTTAACTTCTTTCAAAGTTAAGGTAAAAAGATACTCATTTCCAGGCCTTATCAGTTCAAGAGCATACCAACATATGGAGCACCAGTAATGTACTGGACACCATGCCAGGCAAGATAAGAGATGCTTTCTACCCTTCAAGTATTTTAATCAGGCAAAGGCAATAATGTGTATGCATTGTCACACTTTACAAGTACCTCCTTGAAGGTTATACATTTTACTTCCATTTCCCCTCCCATCACTAATAAAATTGACAGTTTGAGGGCTGACACCTTTACCCACAAGAGGTGCCCACTGATCCCACACTACCCTCCCCACAAATTATCCTTCCATTGTCTACCAGGAAGCTAATTCTATTCACTGGTGCCCACTTCCAACACAGCATCATGCAGTTCTCCTTTATTACACCCCCAACTGTTTATGTGCAGTAATCCTATCCGACAAAAATGAAAGTGACAGAATGAATCCTGTATGAGTCAGAACTTGATAGGACTGTTTTTCTGGTCCTCACAAGTTTTCTGCCTTTGACAGGGTGCATTCTTACAACTTTTATATGGTATCACTTGTTCTGGTGGAACATATTCAAGTTTTCATCTCTACTAAGTTTCCACCTTACACAAGTTCTGGATTTCACAGATTGTTTGGAAGAACAATCTCAATCACCCACTCTACCACATATCATGAACAATTGTCCAAAGGCAAAACCTTTTGTCCCACTGAGGTGATGCCAACTTACAATTATCCTATGTACAACAGAACGAACACCACCTAGTCCTAAGCCACCCTCATAATTGTTCTTATGGGTGAGCCCATTGTAGCAATTGCGTCAATCTATTTTGTTGTGGGTCTTCCTCTTTTTCACTGTCTCTCCCCACGTTACCAAGCATGATGTCCCTTTCCAAGGACTGGTCTCTCTTGAGAACATGTCCAAAGTACATGAGACAAAGTCTCAGCCCATCCTAGCTTCTAAGA